GAGATCTCTCGGTGACCACGCCTTAACTAGCAGATCGCGAGTGTCGGGCAGGGTCAAGGAAGAGGTCTCCAGAGTTAAACTACGTGCGCGGCAGTGAGAAATCCTCGTGAGATCCGGCCGCCGGTCGTTTTCCAAGCTGGTAGGCAGCGTACGGGCGTAGTATCTCCAGTTTTTTTTTTTTTGAGCATTAAAACTTTATTCATCAAATAAGAGCAAGATCATTTACATAAGAATGCAGAATAAAGTCCGGGACAACGTCCGAAGTTTCAGACTTGCTAAGACTAAAGCTATGCTTTGCTAAGCCATCCGCTACCATATTCGCTTCTATGCTACAATGAGTAAAACTGATGCTTTTAAATTCCATGGCCATAAGAGAGCATTCTACTACTATTGGAACATCAGTTCCCATGTATGCGTTTGGGTCAGATATAGCCTCCAAAGGCGTACTATCTCCAGTTAGTTCTCCAATCCAGTCCACTGAGAAATCACCGGAAATTAGGGCGTTTCGCACGCCAAGCTCGTGCGTGTGTGTGCCGCAGCCGGCGGCCGCGTGCAACGTACCTGCCCAGCTCGTCGGCGGGAGACGAGGGGATTTTTCTGCTCGCCTAAATAACGACCAAGTGCCTGACACGGTAAATACTAGTAGTTCATTGATTTTACAGTGTGAAATTGAGATGGTAGTGGTGCTCCCTGTATTTAATTAATCAATCAACTAAGCTCTAAGCACCGCGCATATACACTCTGCATTCTGGAACATGAAGGTGTAGACTGCAATGCAGTTGTAGAATGTAGGGTGAAGAAGGGAGTCAGCCGAGTACGAGTAGCACGTAGTAGTACAGTAGTTGAGTCGAGGAGGGAAGCATCAAGCTGAGTCGGGTCATGTTTGTGCGTGGAGCGGTGATCTGATTCGGCCGGGGAGAGACAGCTAGGCCGTGCACGTTGCCCCTCACGTCGGGCGAGCATGCATGCATGTGATTCCACCACCAATCATCATCTGCTTTCTTTCGTCGTTTCCTTTCCTTTCCTTCCTTCCGCCAGAGAAGAGCCACATCTACTCATTGTGGTTGCCACTCTTTCTTTTAGGGAAAATTGTGGTTGTCACTTGCCTCCGTATGATACAGGACTAGGAGTACATCTCTAGTAGAGTACTTCCTATAATTCAAAGTCAGTGCTCTTGCCATGATTCTCGACAAAACTTCGTCTAAATGAGTCGGATCAAAATTCGAAAAATCTGCCTGCTAGTAGCTGTTTTTCTTCTTCTTGTTGTTGGGGTGAAATCGAGTAGCAGATGTATGTATGGATTGATCCGATCAGTAGCCGCTGGCCGGAGACGAGAAGGGAATATGCCCACAGGCAAGAAGGCACATGTGCGAGCGCGACACCTTGGCACGTTACAGTGTTAGTGTGTCCCTTGTCCTGTCCTGCCCCGGTCCAGTTGTCAGGTATTTTCCTGCAATTGTTTGGCCCTTTTGGGATTCAATAGCCGATTTTATGGGGCAGTATGTGCTAATAGTACTGGCCGGTCCCATGGCTCCCAGCTGCCTCGTCCATGTGAGGGCGGACTAGTTTATCCCGATGGAGCAGAGAAAAGGTTGGATCCACAGATGCTAATCATCAGGCTTAAGCAAAGGTTTTAAATGTCTCCTTTCCGGAAGATGGAGAGAAGGTACACTCTGGGGGATGGTATGATCCCATCTAAGACCTGCACTATATATATATAAGTGTATTGCACCAACCAATCTTGTCACCATGGACCTACTTGGGTGGACATAATCTTTCGCTGGAAATTCAGATGCATGATGGATTTGGCTGACGCAAAATGGGAAATTAAACACACGTCCGAGGTGTGTCTTCTTATACAGACAAGCTGCAAAAATCTAATGAAGGTTACAACATCTTTAATCGGATTGAACTAATTTGACCGCATTTATCTATGGCCGTGTTTAAACAGCGTCCGTGAACATGCCCACAGAAACCCCATTTGTCCTAAGAAAAAGGAAAGAGCGAGATGGGAAAAAGAAGAAAGTGGTTCAGGGTGGTCCTAGTCCGACGGTTGATCGGATACGTATGTACATTCTCGTTTTCTCCCGACATATGAGCTGGGTTTGGGGGTTTGTGGGCCTCCTGGCCTGTGGGATGATTTCCTCCCAACT